ACCAAGTCAAGGGTTAAGATCCCCTTACCGGTCATCTTTAAAAAAAAAAAAAAAAAAGTCTGACTGTACAGAAGCATCAACCCTGGCGACAATAACTTCCAGGAGTGAGAACATGGAAACAGAAGGCAACTGGAAGAGATTTGATTTTGCTGCAGAGAAAATTGATGAGTGATCGGGACCACGTTTGATTCGTGGGATCGACTCGGAACCCAGTTTCTCAAAGAAGGCTCGTGGCAAGGGAGGGGCAACCCAGACTTATTCCTTCTGTCTTTCCCAGCATGGAGACGGCACCTCCCGGGGCCGGGCCAGGTGGAGAGGTCATAACAGATGACAGCAGACCCAGTGGCTTAAAGTAATAGGAACTCACGGTTCTGGAGGGAGAAGTCAAGATTCAGGTGTGCAGGGCCGTGCTCCCTTCCAGGCTCCAGTGGAGGATCCTTCCTGCCTCTTGCAGCTAACTCCTAATACTGTATTTTTTAAAAATATTAAAAATAGTTTTAAAATGTGTATTAGAATATATGACACAATTTTAAATGATTTTTAATTAAGAAATAATAAATTTATTACATGTTAATATAACACTTTTTTTTAAACTGCATTTTCCAAAAAGCAAAACAGATGAGTGGCATTGTTTTTTCCATTTCTTTTTTTCTTTTTTTGGTCCTTTTTTTTTTTTTTTAAAGGTGACCAGTAAGGGGATCTTAACCCTTGACTTGGTGTTGTCAGCACCACGCTCAGCCAGTGAGCAAACCGGCCATCCCTATATGGGATCCGAACCCGTGGCCTTGGTGTTATCAGCACCACACTCTCCCGAGTGCGCCATGGGCTCGGCCCTGTCTTTCCCATTTCTGCAAACCCCTTGAATGTCTGGTTTCATGGAGGACAGCAGGATTCGCCTCTGCTGTGCGTTCACTCTGTCGAAAAAGGATGTTCTGGCCTCAAGATGAAGACAGAAGGGCCCACAGTTTATCTTCCTGACCCTGAAGCACCGAATGCCCTGAGGCGGGAGGGAGCCACGCGTTACAGCTCCGGTCTCAGCCCCACTGAGGACCTGTCTCGGGTCATCCGTCCATGCTGAGGGAGCTCGGGTATTTGTCCTCTGACTCTTGTGCAACTGGGCTGGAGCCAGGAGCTTGAGGGCTCTCAGGTGGAGAGTCCTGGGTGCTGCATGTGTGCACATGCGTATGTCTATCTGTGGGGATGTGTGCGTACATGTGTTCAAGTTGTATACATGTGTGTTTGTGTTTTATTGTGGGTTCAATTGTGTCCCCCCTAAAATCCATATGTTCACGTCCTAACTCCCAGGACCTCAGAGAGTGAACTTATTTAGAAACGGTCTTTGCAGATGTGATTAGTTAAGATGAGGTCATTGGGGTGGGCCCTAACCCGTTAACTGGGGTCCTTATAAAAGGGGACATTTGGACACAGACACGCACACAGGGAGAAGGCTATGTGAAGACAGAGGCAGAGATCAGGGCGAGGCTTCTACCAGCCAAAGAAGGCCGAGGACTGCCGCAGCCACCAGAAAGGAGCAGGGGACAGGCCTGGGCAGACTCTCCCTCAGCATCAGAAGGAGCCAGCCCCGCCCCGCCTTGATCTTGGACTTCCAACCTCCAGAACCAAGAAAGGATAAACTTCTGGTGTTTAAGCCACCCAGGGTGTGGTGCCTTATCATGGCAGCCGCAGGACACTCACACAAGGGTGCTTTAGAAAGTTCACGTAAAGATTCGTATTACCTTTCCATTCTATTTTTCCACGAACTTTTTGAAGTTCGCTTGTACATGTTTGCACGTGTGTGTGTGTGCGTGTTCAGGAGTGACGGGTGCTGCAGGGCCCCTGTGGCCTCTCTTCCCCATCCCAAATAGGACGTCCCTTTCCTCCCCAACCACTGTCTCCCACGTTCCCTTCTGTGGCTGGCGCTGCTGCCCTCACGCGGCCACCAGAGGGCGCGCTCGTGTCCACTCAGACCCTGAGATGACACCAAGGATGGGAGCAGAAACCAGGCAGCACCTTGGCGGGACCTTGCACCTGGCTCCTTGCGTGGAGCCCCTGCGGTTTAGGCGCCCCTCCCTCCTGCTCTCCATTTCCCACGTTCCACTCCCGCGGCCCCTCTTTAAAACCCCCTCAGTAGACCTGCGTCTTCGAGACGGCTTTAGTGTGGCCACTCCTTCAGGGTTACCGCGGAGATCGGTCAGCCCAACACCTCTCCTCAGGTCGCCAGGATTCCTGAATAACAGCTGATTCCATTTTTACTAACATTTGACTTTTGGGTCGCTTGCTTTCATTGGGGGCAAGCAGCCGGACTTGGACTCGGTGACAGATTTTGGGGAGCCTCAGCTGGGAGCTGAGAGCCCCCCAGTATTAGATGGAGACTGCGAGTTGGACTACAACCGAGTGCAGAGGTTGCCAGGAGGACCACTGAGTGGCACCTTGCAGGGGACGCTACGATGCAGGAAGGCAGGACCACAGCCACGCTGGAAATAGCCGCATCACACACCCCGATTCAGAACCCCAAATAGGACTGTTGCATGACTGTATCAATCTTCTGGGTCTGGTGTAACAAAGTACCACAAACAGGGTGGCTTAAAACAACAGAGATAACAGTCCACGAGCAAAATGTCATCAGGACCACACTCCCACTGAAGCCTCCAGGGGAGGTCCTTCCTGCCTCTTCCAGCTTCTGGGGCTTCCAGCGTCCCTTGGCTTGTGATCACGTCCGCCCAGTCTCGGCCTCTGTCTTCACATGGCTTTCCTTCTTTGTCTTTGTATATACTAACTCTTCTTCTAATAAGAACGCAGTCACTGGATTTAAGGCCTACTCCAACCCAGTGTGACCTCATCTTTACTTTATGTTTTTTTGTGGGTAGCCATTACGGGGATCTGAACCGTTGACCTTTATGTTATTAACACTGTACTCTAACCAGCTGGCCAGTCCTCAGTATGACCTCTTCTTAATTTAAGAAATTACATCTGCAGCAACCCTGTTTCCAAATAAAGTCACATTCTAAGACCTCTACTGTGCCCAGGCCTTGGCCCCAGGGAGTGGGTGTAAAAGGGGCTCTGGGGGGCCGGCCCGTGGCTCACTCAGGAGAGCGTGGTGC